TGTATGAACGTCACAGAGAGCCTAAAGGACGAGGATGTGTTTGCTGCCTATAAGAGGACTTCTGTGGTACAACCCCCCCCCCCTCCCCCCCCATAAAAACAAAAAAACCCAGGAAAGATACTTAGAGAACATCATGATAAACCCAAACAGTGTTGGATAAATAATATAACTATGCTTCAAAGGTTGAGTTCGAGATTTGCCTACTTAATTTTGTTAATTTTTAGTTTTTAAGCTTTGCTACCCAGATAAAGGGGAGCCCTGAATGTAAAACGTTTATCTTATTATCTCTTTGATAATGCTGTTCTCTAATAGTTAGCTAACTATATTAACTGCTTAGAAGGATGTGCTGTTAAACATTAACAACAGAATGGAAAGTCAGCCAAGAAATGAACTATATGACCTGCTTAGTTGTTGACATCGGGCAAAAGTAAACTTAATTTCTTCAAAAGTCTTGAGCAACCCTTCATTTCTCTACATTTTGCTAGGAAAATGGAAAAGTATGTGCAGTGATTAAATGAAATGTGTACAAACTTACATGGAAACACTGTATAGAAGGCAAAAAGAGAGTTTCTACAATTGTGATGAGCTTGAAAGTCAGTATTTGGTACGACCACCATTATTCTTGAACTCTGTTATGCCTGAACTTTCTTATGCAGATTTCTTGTAGTGTCTTTAAGAAGTGTTCAGGAATAATTCTCTAGACTTCTTGAAGGACATTGAAAGCTTTTCTTTTCATGTCGGCTGCCTTTTGTTCTGTTCTTTGTCAAGATTAACCCTTCACTGCTTAAATAATGCTGAGATCCACGACTACTTTGTGTTGTGTTACAACTTTTAAGCAGTACTCTACACAGTTCTGTACAATTTTATTTTTAATGTGACAAAGTCTGAAGTTATAACACTATCCACATAGTAGAATAAAAAAGTCATCTATTGGCAGTTATTATTATAAAAGGTCGGGTAAAAGGCTCTCTACACAGGAAACAGCTAAACCTGTTGTTTAAAGGTCAAAGAAATAAACTATAATAAATATTCTTTGTGTCATCAATTTCATTTCCATGTAAAATTACATGAACAAAT